ACTGCCTCCACCTCCATTCTCAAGCCATCAGAAGGCTGCAGTGACTGCCTCTACCTCCATTCTCAAGCCATCAGAAGGCTGCAGTGAATGCCTCCACCTCCATCCTCAAGCCATCAGAAGACTGTAGTGACTGCCTCCACCTCCATTCTCAAGCCAGCGGAAGGCTGCAGTGACTGCCTTCACCTCCATTCTCAAGCCAGCGGAAGGCTGCAGTGACTGCCTCTACCTCCATTTTTAAATTAGATGTTATGGTATCACACGCCAGTCTTTGTTGCCCCAAAGGTTGCCCATTTGCTTTTGCTATGAACCCCCGTGTAAATCTTCTTCCTCTCAACACAGAGCCATCTGTATGGAGGAGAATGAGGAACAACCATAAATTTATCATCTGTCTGGAGGAGAATGAGGAACAACCATAAATTTATCATCTGTCTGGAGGAGAATGAGGAACAACCATAAATTTATCATCTGTCTGGAGGAGAATGAGGAACAACCATAAATTTATCATCTGTCTGGAGGAGAATGAGGAACAACCATAAATTTATCATCTGTCTGGAGGAGAATGAGGAACAACCATAAATTTATCATCTGTATGGAGGAGAATGAGGAACAACCATAAATTTATCATCTGTATGGAGGAGAATGAGGAACAACCATAAATTTATCATCTGTCTGGAGGAGAATGAGGAACAACCATAAATTTATCATCTGTATGGAGGAGAATGAGGAACAACCATAAATTTATCATCTGTATGGAGGAGAATGAGGAACAACCATAAATTTATCATCTGTATGGAGGAGAATGAGGAACAACCATAAATTTATCATCTGTATGGAGGAGAATGAGGAACAACCATAAATTTATCATCTGTCTGGAGGAGAATGAGGAACAACCATAAATTTATCATCTGTATGGAGGAGAATGAGGAACAACCATAAATTTATCATCTGTATGGAGGAGAATGAGGAACAACCATAAATTTATCATCTGTCTGGAGGAGAATGAGGAACAACCATAAATTTATCATCTGTCCTGACATCAGGAGAGCAAAAAGACTACAGTGGTTGGCCCATATTGGGAGAATGGCAGATAAGAGAGATAAAAATCGCATACACAAAAGAGTTTAGGAGGGGTAGACCATGAGGCAGACCACGAAGAATGTGGAGAGATAATGTCCAGGCAGACGAACAGAGATGGGTGACATATGCAGCAATAAAACTTCAGGGCTTAAAATACTGAAGAAGAATAAGGAGGATAAGGAAAAGAAAAAGAAAAAGAGAGTAAGAAGAACCAAACATTTTAAATAAATTACTAAACTAAACACTTATTGCTAAAATAACAAATTTTATTTTGATTGACATTCTAATGCTTGATATTTATGCATCTGTAAGTTGATTATATTGCACTTTCTTTATATATAAATATGCTGGCAGACTGGCAATCATACACATAGACATACATCAACAGCCATCAGGATGAGTAGAAACTTTACTGTGGGTTCTGGAGCCCCACTGTAGGAGAGGGGGAAGAACTGACACAAAGACCGCAATAAGCATGTCATAGAAGGCCACTAATTAGAGGTGTTTCCTTTAAATGGTATTCACAGCCTCTACACCACTTACCTAGACTCAAGAACATGCTCCAGGTAATTGCAACAGGCCACTAAAAAGCATTTCTCAAAAGGTGACTAATCAGGGCAGTTGCCTTTAAAGTCAGAGTGCAGCAGAAGTTCACCAAAACTAAAATGGGGTCATCTGGGTCCAAACTCAATATCACAGCCTTTAGGACAAGCTCATCATTTTAGCTCTCTCTCAACAGCCAGCAAAATCTCCATACTGAAGTTACCCAATACCATCTGGTTAACTACTCATCTTACCCTACTCATCTTGCCTCTCCCCTGAATCATGAGCGGCACCTAGAAGTCTGCAGACACTTGCCGTGGCAATGTTCTCTCCACATTACAGGTTTTTAATATCTTGTTAACCTTTTCCCAAAGGTGAGAGATCTCCTCTGCCTTGTGCAGTTGCAGTACACACCCAGTGGGGCCAGTTCAGCCAACCTATCTGCCTACTCATTCCCTAACATGCCTACATAGCCGGAGTAAAATATCCATGTGACCAAACCTGGTACAGAAAATGTTCATGGAAGAAAAGGCAGCCAGTGTGACATTTACCACATCACACATCAGCAACAAAGCTCTGTTGCTTAGAGATCAGTGAGCATGTTTAACCATTTGTTATCTTTGAGTACATGGGTTTTATTTCTTTGGTGGAAGGTTAAAATAAACAACAACAAAAAAGTTTTTGTATTTTTCGGAAATCAGTGCAAGAGCCCTGTCACGGCAGAGACTTGGGCAATACCATGAATTATTCCCAAAGACAGTGTGTGTTCTGTAGGCAACTTTCATTGTGGAGATGGCACATCAATTCTTTTTTCAAATTCTATACCCAGTAAGTCGGTGACTGTGACTTAGACACTGCGAACATGCTTTGTAATTATGAGGTGTCAGGTTCAATCTTAACTGCGGGCGATTTGGCAGCGAACCATCTTGCATTGGTATTAACAGTGGTATCAAGAGCTGACTGCTCAGAAAGCAGTGGCAAACTACTGAGTGTAAAATTACCTAGTAAAACCACAACAGCCATGCTGGGGTTGGATCTGTAAAAGTTCTGGAAAGGATACACAACTAACCATTTTTTTGTAATGGCCAATAAACCTTATCATAAGTAAAATGATGACAGGCACTTTTCTTTTTATTGCTAAAAATAATTTGATGATACAAATTTCTCACAAGATGGTGTTAAATAATTACACTTTCATGTTAATTAAAAATATTGAAAATTTATAAAAGTTAATTTTTGATTTTTTTTTAAAAGTGAAAAATTGCCAGGCACTTGGGGAACACAAAAATTGATACCAGAGTCACTGTGGCTGAGCAGCTAGACGTGCACCGCGGATCGGAAGGTCGTGGGTACGCTCCCTGGTGGAGCCGGACTTCTCTTCAAACATGACCTTGGCTTCCAGGTCAACCTAGCCTTGAGTGGGTACCGGATGTAGTCCCGGGAAGTAGAGGCGGCAGGCGTGATGCTGACCACATCACCCATGTTGTGACGTTGGTCTATAAAATATAGGTCTAGCCCTATATGCCCTATACGCCTAAAGGCGTGGAAAAGGGTCCTTTACTTACTTTTACTTGGTGAAGTGATGGATAAACTTTCTTAAAGTAATAAACATTACCACTCAGAACATTAGTTCAGAATCAAAGACAAAACACCAGACAAATTAAAAGCAGCAACATATATATGTGTCACATTTTCAAAGTTACCATCATCATCACGTAACAGGTCCTTTGCAGAAAGAATGTTGCCGTCTGCTTGAATGAAACTGAGTCTCTCGCCAGATGTCCTATCTCAAGCAGTTTTCTACCTAAGACATCACTGATGTCTTCTACCCATCTTCATGCTGGTCAGCCCCTTCCCCTCTTAGCTAGTAACATGCCTTCTGGTATTATTATTGTTTTCAAAGTGGCTGCCCAGATTTTTCTGTTCTTTCTTCACCACTCTTGAATTTAGCCCATTTTATGTTCATTAATTTCCTTATGCATTTACTTACAAATACATTCTACGTCTTTAGTGGTTCTCCAGCATTTAGTGATATACGTTAAACCCTTATATGTTAAACATTAAATAACATTAGAACTGAAAACATCACTCACTCAGCTCTACCATATTAATAATCATTGTGTCCTTTGCAGACTGTTGCTCTCAACACATTACACCACATGGGGACCTTGCTAACTTCCCTGCCCAGGACGCCCTTAAGATCCTGTAGTTACCTTCTGCTGATTTCTGCCGCATCTTCTTTCAAGAACTGTACTCTTTATTACTGTTCCCTCTAAACCAGTATGGTGCTTAATATGGGGAAAGTATTCCAGTTTATGAGAAACAATACTGTCTATGAATCAGTCCCTGTCTATGAATCGGTCCCTGTCTATGAAAGTCCCTGTCTATGAATCGGTCCCTGTCTATGAATCAGTCCCTGTCTATGAATCGGTCCCTGTCTATGAATCAGTCCTTGTCTATGAATCAGTTCCTGTCTATGAATCAGTCCCTGTCTATGAATCAGTCCCTGTCTATGAATTTGTCCCTGTCTATGAATCAGTCCCTGTCTATGAATCCGTTCCTGTCTATGAATCAGTCCCTGTCTATGAATCAGTCCCTGTCTATGAATCCGTCCCTGTCTATGAATCAGTCCCTGTCTATGAATCAGTCCCTGTCTATAAATCGGTCCCTGGCTATGAATCAGTCCCTGTCTATGAATCAGTCCCTGTCTTTGAATCGGTCCCTGTCTATGAATAAGTCCCTGTCTATGAATCAGTCCCTGTCGATAATCACATCCTAATGATTGTCAATGTTTTTCCTCGTCTTGGTCTATGATACTCTAAGAACCATCCTGTAACATTTTAAGTTAAAAATGCTTAGCTGCTTTTCTTTAGCAAATGCAAAAAAGTCAATGAATCTCATCTGTATGCTGCTGCCAGGAAACATAGACAATAACAGTTATGCTGAAATTAGAAGATTAGGACAGAAACCAGTCATACAGTTCCTTAAAGAGCAACAGGTGGGACGGTTTGGCCATCTGACGAGAATGCCCTTGGACCAACTTCAACAGAGAGCCATGCTGAAGAAATATAACGGCACTAAAGCAAAGTGAAGACCCGGCAGAAAATGCGATGACAAAATCATAAACAGCTTTAATGGGAGGAAGATAATCTTAGACAACAGACTGGAACAAGCACAGAGAAAATCCTTACAACATCCCCCCCACCCCAACCTTCCCCCACCAAACACTCGGATGAAGTAACTGGAGAAGTGAAAAAAGAAGAAGAAGAAAATGACAGTTATGTTGTGAGTTAAAAGAAATGTTCCATCATTCTATCATTAATTCTGAATTCATCTTGATTAACAAATAAGCAACAAAAACCTAAACAAGAATGGACAATTCACAACTCCAATTCTAGCAAAGCTTTGCGAGAGTGGAAGAGTTGTGTGTGAAACTCCTGGGAGATTTTCATCTGCTGCTCTGCGTACCTGGCCAAGGCGTCGGAGGCATTCAACAAACGTAGCTGTGTAAACGCAGTGATCTGTGGAGAAGAGTTTTCTCTTGAAGATGTGCGAGAAACATAGTCGTTTATCAATCAAATGAATTCAAGAATACTGCACATTAATAAATAAGATTGCACAGAACTAAAGAATATTGCAGATAGGTAAAGCAGACTGCACAGAACTAAAGAACTGTGCATGTAAGTAAATATGACCACATACTACTAAGGAATATTGCACATAAGTAAGGGAGACTGCACAAACTAAAAAAAATATTGCAAACAAGTAGAGGAGACTGCACAGAACCAAAGAATATTGTACATAGAGGAGACTGCACAAAACTAAAGAATATTGTACACAGGTAAAGAAGACTGCACAGAACTAAAGAATATTGTACATAGGTAAAGAAGACTGCACAGAACTAAAGAATATTGTACATAAAGAAAAGAGACTGCACAGAACTAAAGAATATTGTACATAAAGAAAAGAGACTGCACAGAACTAAAGAATATTGTACACAGGTAAAGAAGACTGCACAGAACTAAAGAATATTGTACATAAAGAAAGAAGACTGCACAGAACCAAAGAATATTGTACATAGGTAAAGGATACTGCGCAGAACTAAAGAATATTGTACATAAAGAAAGGAGACTGCACAGAACTAAAGAATATTGTACATAAAGAAAGGAGACTGCACAGAACTAAAGAATATTGTACATAAAGAAAGGAGACTGCACAGAACTAAAGAATATTGTACACAGGTAAAGGAGACTGCATAGAACTAAAGAATATTGTACACAGGTAAAGGAGACTGCATAGAACTAAGGAATACTGTACACAGGTAAAGGAGACTGCATAGAACTAAGGAATACTGTACACAGGTAAAGGAGACTGCATAGAACTAAGGAATACTGTACACAGGTAAAGGAGACTGCATAGAACTAAGGAATACTGTACACAGGTAAAGGAGACTGCATAGAACTAAGGAATACTGTACACAGGTAAAGGAGACTGCATAGAACTAAGGAATACTGTACACAGGTAAAGGAGACTGCATAGAACTAAGGAATACTGTACACAGGTAAAGGAGACTGCATAGAACTAAGGAATACTGTACACAGGTAAAGGAGACTGCATAGAACTAAGGAATATTGTACACAGGTAAAGGAGACTGCACAGAACTAAAGAATATTGTACACAGGTAAAGGAGACTGCATAGAACTAAAGAATATTGTACACAGGTAAAGGAGACTGCATAGAACTAAAGAATATTGTACACAGGTAAAGGAGACTGCATAGAACTAAGGAATATTGTACACAGGTAAAGGAGACTGCATAGAACTAAGGAATACTGTACTAAGTTGACTGCAAATAACTTTTTTTTAAATGTGCTTAAACTAAAGGAGAGATTCTAAATGTAAAGTTAACTTCTGTAAACAAACATCACAACTGTGTTTTTTTTTTCTCACTTCTTTCTTCCCTACTTCAGAGCTGTGTTCAAATGTCTTCTTGGCTGCTTCGTATGCCTCTTCTGCCTGAAAATAAAACCATCAGAGAACTTTTCATTATTTTTAAACTGACATATTTCATTCTCATTACTATGTTCCACCTGAATTAAATCACCTCATCTTCTATTTACCAAATGAAACCCAAGGTGGTGACCCATGTCAAGCCTTTGTAAACTTCATAATGTGTTGGATTTTGCACGTAAAGTTTTCTTCCGGATCAAGTCTCCAGTCTCTGGGTTTTGGCTTGGAGTTGGTTGACAGTGAAACATCTAAAACTTCTAGAGTGGACATGGTAAAGGATTTCTAATAACAAGTGGACGGTGCCAGCAGTACAGAGTATCCATTCTTTGAGTGACTGCTGCTGCTGCTGCTTCTTCTTCCTTCTTCTCATTCCTTCCTTCTCCTCCTTCTCTTCTTCTTTTGCTTCTTCTTCTCCTCCTCCTCCTTGTCCATATTCTTCTTTTTCTTTAAAATAGTGGTCGGCATGTTGTATCATGGTTTACAACTTGGCTGTGATATATGTATCTTATCAGAAGTTTGCTGAAATTGGATATCTTGCGCTGAAAGGTGCAGATTTCTCAGCCCAGCCTTAAACTACAACAAAACTTGTCAATGCTCTTTTAAGGGCAAACACGGCAGAAGAAGATGATGAATGACAATATATTTGACTTAACTTTTGCAAGCCCAAATAGTTCCACAGGAGTTTACAGCCAGTGAACGCCAAAAACAATAAAATCACAGTATTTCAGAGGAATCACAAACAAGAATTAACTATCAACCAATCAGGGCTGTATCTACAATGAAGGTTAACTGCAATGGATCACCAACACTCTCCGTCTTTCGCTACAGTCAATCACTTTCTCAGAGACAACAGATCAAATGGTGTCGGCATGTGTCAAGACTAGCACCAGACAGTGCACCACAGACAGTTTCGGCATGTGTCAAGACTAGCACCAGACAGTGCACAACAGACAGCCCTGTCACTCAGACATAAGAAAGGCAGACTAGGGGCTGACTATGCAAGCAATTGATAGATGGAATATCATAAATACCAGCATCTATGTAGCACATACAAAAGCTCCCACCGGATTCCTCTTTAAAACCTGGTGCTGAAATGCAGAACAGGACTAGAAAAGAAGAAAAAGAGGAAGAAGTCACTTTCTCAGACTATCTTCTTTTATCATCCTGACAACAAGAGCCAACAAAATAAGACGGAACTTCTTCAAGTTATTTACAAAAATCAATCACACTAGACATGCCCAAGAAAATTGATGAACATTAAATGGGAAGAATTCAAGAGCAGCAAAGAAATGAGAGAAAGGTCTGGACAACTGAGAGCGTCAACAGTTATAAGACAAAGATAATGGTTCTGTACTGGACATATCATAAATGGATAATCACCAAACAAGTACAAAAATTAGAAGCAAATGGACTGAGACAATTAGGACGCCCAAGTTAAACTGTGAGACGAACACTGAGAGAAACTGTGAGATACACACAGAGAGAAACTTTGAGATAAACATTGAGAGAAACTGTGAGATGAACAATGAGAGAAACTGTGAGATGAACACTGAGAGAAACTGTGAGATAAACACTGAGAGAAACTGTGAGATGAACACTGAGAGAAACTTTGAGATAAACATTGAGAGAAACTGTGAGATGAACAATGAGAGAAACTGTGAGATGAACACTGAGAGAAACTGTGAGATAAACACTGAGAGAAACTGTGAGATGAACACTGAGAGAAACTGTGAGATGAACACTGTGAGAAACTGTGAGATAAACATTGAGAGAAACTGTGAGATGAACACTGAGAGAAACTGTGAGATGAACACTGAGAGAAACTGTGAGATAAACACTGAGAGAAACTGTGAGATGAACAATGAGAGAAATTGTGAGATTAACACTGTGAGAAACTGTGAGATGAACATTGAGAGAAACTGTGAGATAAACACTGAGAGAAACTGTGAGATAAACACTGAGAGAAACTGTGAGATGAACACTGAGAGAAACTGTGAGATAAACACTGAGAGAAACTGTGAGATGAACACTGAGAGAAACTGTGAGATAAACACTGAGAGAAACTGTGAGATGAACATTGAGAGAAACTGTGAGATAAACACTGAGAGAAACTGTGAGATAAACACTGAGAGAAACTGTGAGATAAACACTGAGAGAAACTGTGAGATGAACATTGAGAGAAACTGTGAGATGAACACTGTGAGAAACTGTGAGATAAACACTGAGAGAAACTGTGAGACGAACACAGAGAAACTGTGAGATAAACACTGAGAGAAAATGTGAGATGAACACTGAGAGAAACTGTGAGATGAACACTGAGAGAAAATGTGAGATGAACATTGAGAGAAACTGTGAGATGAACACTGAGAGAAACTGTGAGATAAACACTGAGAGAAACTGTGAGATAAACACTGAGAGAAACTGTGAGATAAACACAGAGAAACTGTGAGATAAACACTGAGAGAAACTGTGAGACGAACACTGAGAGAAACTGTGAGATGAACACTGAGAGAAAATGTGAGATGAACATTGAGAGAAACTGTGAGATGAACACTGAGAGAAACTGTGAGATAAACACTGAGAGAAACTGTGAGATGAACACTGAGAGAAACTGTGAGATAAACACTGAGAGAAACTGTGAGATAAACACTGAGAGAAAATGTGAGATAAACACTGAGAGAAACTGTGAGTTGAACACTGAGAGAAACTGTGAGTTGAACACTGAGAGAAACTGTGAGTTGAACACTGAGAGAAACTGTGAGATAAACACTGAGAGAAACTGTGAGATCAACACTGAGAGAAAATGTGAGATGAACACTGAGAGAAACTGAGATAAACAATGAGAGAAACTGTGAGATGAACACTGAGAGAAACTGTGAGATGAACACTGAGAGAAACTGAGATGAACACTGAGAGAAACTGTGAGATGAACACTGAGAGAAACTGTGAGATGAACACTGAGAGAAACTGTGAGATGAACACTGAGAGAAACTGTGAGATGAACACTGAGAGAAAATGTGAGATGAACACTGAGAGAAACTGTGAGATGAACGCTGAGAGAAAATGTGAGATGAACATTGAGAGAAACTGTGAGATGAACACTGAGAGAAAATGTGAGATGAACATTGAGAGAAACTGTGAGATGAACACTGAGAGAAACTGTGAGATGAACACTGAGAGAAACTGTGAGATGAACACTGAGAGAAACTGTGAGATAAACACTGAGAGAAACTGTGAGTTGAACACTGAGAGAAACTGTGATTTGAACACTGAGAGAAACTGTGAGAAACTGTGAGATCAACACTGAGAGAAAATGTGAGATGAACACTGAGAGAAACTGAGATAAACACTGAGAGAAACTGTGAGATGAACACTGAGAGAAACTGAGATAAACACTGAGAGAAAATGTGAGATGAACACTGAGAGAAACTTAGATAAACACTGAGAGAAACTGTGAGTTGAACACTGAGAGAAACTGTGAGATCTACACTGAGAGAAACTGTGAGTTGAACACTGAGAGAAAATGTGAGATAACACTGAGAGAAACTGTGAGATGAACACTGAGAGAAACTGTGAGATCAACACTGAGAGAAAATGTGAGATGAACACTGAGAGAAACTGAGATAAACACTGAGAGAAACTGTGAGATGAACACTGAGAGAAACTGAGATAAACACTGAGAGAAAATGTGAGATGAACACTGAGAGAAACTTAGATAAACACTGAGAGAAACTGTGAGTTGAACACTGAGAGAAACTGTGAGATCTACACTGAGAGAAACTGTGAGTTGAACACTGAGAGAAAATGTGAGATAACACTGAGAGAAACTGTGAGATGAACACTGAGAGAAATTGTGAGTTGAACACTGAGAGAAAATGTGAGATAAACACTGAGAGAAACTGTGAGATCAACACTGAAACTCTGAGATAAACACTGAGAGAAACTGTGAGATGAACATTGAGAGAAACTGTGAGATAAACATTGAGAGAAACTGTGAGATGAACACTGAGAGAAACTGTGAGATGAACATTGAGAGAAACTGAGATAAACACTGAGAGAAACTGTGAGATGAACACTGAGAGAAACTGTGAGATAAACACTGAGAGAAACTGTGAGATGAACATTGAGAGAAACTGTGAGATGAACATTGAGAGAAACTGTGAGATGAACACTGAGAGAAACTGTGAGATGAACATTGAGAGAAACTGAGATAAACACTGAGAGAAACTGTGAGATGAACACTGAGAGAAACTGTGAGATAAACACTGAGAGAAACTGTGAGATAAACACTGAGAGAAACTGTGAGATAAACACTGAGAGAAACTGAGATAAACACTGAGAGAAACTGAGATGAACACTGAGAGAAACTGTGAGATGAACAATGAGAGAAACTGCGAGATGAACACTGAGAGAAACTGTGAGATGAACACTGAGAGAAACTGTGAGATGAACAATGGGAGAAACTGTGAGATACACACTGAGAGAAACTGTGAGATACACACTGAGAGAAACTGTGAGATAAACACTGTGAGATGAACACAGAGAAACTGTGAGATACACACTGAGAGAAACTGTGAGATAAACACTGAGAGAAACTGTGAGATAAACACTGTGAGAAACTGTGAGATGAACACTGAGAGAAACTGTGAGATGAACATTGAGAGAAACTGTGAGTTGAACACTGAGAGAAACTGTGAGTTGAACACTGAGAGAAACTGTGAGATAAACACTGAGAGAAACTGCGAGATGAACACTGAGAGAAATTGTGAGATGAACACTGAGAGAAACTGTGAGTTGAACACTGAGAGAAAATGTGAGATAAACACTGAGAGAAACTGTGACATGAACACTGAGAGAAAATGTGAGATAAACACTGAGAGAAAATGTGAGATGAACACTGAGAGAAACTGAGACAAACACTGAGAGAAACTGTGAGTTGAACACTGAGAGAAACTGTGAGATGGACACTGAGAGAAACTGTGAGATGAACACTGAGAGAAACTGTGAGATGAACATTGAGAGAAACTGTGAGATGAACACTGAGAGAAACTTAGATAAACACTGAGAGAAACTGTGAGATGAACACTGAGAGAAACTGTGAGATGAACACTGAGAGAAACTGTGAGATGAACATTGAGAGAAACTGTGAGATGAACACTGAGAGAAACTGTGAGATGAACACTGAGAGAAATTGTGAGATGAACATTGAGAGAAACTGTGAGATGAACACTGAGAGAAACTGTGAGATGAACACTGAGAGAAACTGTGAGATGAACACTGAGAGAAAATGAGATAAACACTGAGAGAAACTGTGAGATAAACACTGAGAGAAACTGTGAGATGAACACTGAGAGAAACTGTGAGATGAACACTGAGAGAAACTGTGAGGTGAACATTGAGAGAAACTGTGAGATGAACACTGTGAGAAACCAAAGGCGCTGGTCAGGATTCCATTCATGATTTAAAGGGACGCTTGTGATAGAAAAGAACCAAGGACTAGACTGCGAGCTGTTTGTGATGTTTGATGACATGACATCATGATGATGAGGTCAACATAATGTACTTACTGCTGCCTTTTTGACTGGCTTGGCTTTTTCCAGAGCCTTCTCACAAGTTTCATATTCTATCAGAGCGCTGGTCCGCCGCAAGTGCATATCCTGATGAGAGTAGAAATGGGTTAATTCGGTCAATAAACAACAGTTAGTTACAGATACTTTAGAGAACATGGCAAACCAACCACAACATTTGTTGGCTTTTGTGGTTTTACAAGACAATGTTACGTTCTGTGTTAAAATAAGTATTAGGACAGCTAGCGCCACTAAGAATGCCTTGTGATGCCAAACCTTACATACAAAGACAGTGAATAAAATTGTTTGCCACTTAGAATGCCTTGTGAGGTGAAACCTTACATACAAAGACAGTGAATAAAATTGTTTGCCACTTAGAATGCCCTGTGAGGCCAAACCTTACATACAAAAACAGCAAATCACACTGTTTGCCAGTTAGAATGCCTTGTGACACCAAACTTTTCATACAAAGACAGAAAATCAAACTGTTTGCCACTTAGAATGCCTTGTGATGCCAAACCTTACATACAAAGACAGCAAATCACACTGTTTGCCAGTTAGAATGCCTTGTGAGGCCAAACCTTACAAGAAATAAGTGACAACTCAGGCAGGAGAGAAACAGGAGAGTAGATGACACAGAAGAGGTGGCAAGAAGCCAAGTTTCATTCAGGCCTGGTGTTTTTGCAGCAACATGCTTTAAATGACGTGCTAATGATGATGATAATGTCTAAGGTAACATTCATCTCATAAACTGCAGCTCTGCTGTCTCAACACTACACGTTTTACTTACCATAAATAATTCACTATGTGCTTTAAATAGGACATTATTTTTTTTAAACGAAACAGCGTAAATTCCTAAAATTTGCTTAGAAAATGAATGAGGCTACAAACTGAGACATGGCACGTTTGGCACAGCATATGAAAAACAAATGAACTGCAGGCTGAGATCTGTAATAATGCATGACTGGTGTAATGTTGTGAATTCCCGGGGAAATTCCAGAGAGTTCCCGATGGGGAGGACAAGGTCAGAGGACCAGTGATACAAGAGAAAAAACGAGATAAGTGGGTCTCGAATATCCAGTGGTGAGTTAAATAAGGGATACAAGAAAAGCATGAGACTGGAAAGGAAGATGTGAACCGAGACACGGGAGTAAGACAGTAGAAGTTCGGACCTGGTTGCGAGAGGTCGTATGAGTGAACGCCTGAGGAGAATGGAGGAATTGTGAATACTCGTAATGTTTCGAGAGAAGATATGAATGTTTCCTACATGTACTAATACTAGGTACAAGGCTTTGTTAGAGGATGGATGTGTGATTCGAAAGACGCTGATGGATCAAAGCAGTGTGTGAGAGGATTGACCAGGCTGTCAGAAATCAGCCAAGCAGAACGAACACGAGGACGAAAGAATGCGTGCCTATGATATGTTGTGATTCGGCGAATAAAAATATACAACTAAACATTCGTCTCTGCTGTGTCGTAGCAACTAAATGGTCGTCATATAGCAATGTGGCGTGGAAGAACATACCCCTAGCAGAACACATTGCAACTGTTATGTACCATCGGTTTGGTATCTAAGGTAGTTTTAAGTTTCACAATCACATTTACTTAAAAATTTCATTCAGATTCCAAAATGTTTGAATTTTGAAATGTTTGAATTTTGAGGTACAACTGTACTGTGGAAGTTCAGTCTTAATGTGAGCGGGTCTTGCAAGTCACACTCGCCATCACCATGGACTTAACTCTTTGAGTCCAAAGAGGTTTAGCATCCCAGGCCCAGGGGGTAGTGAAGAGAGTCATAAAATCGGCACATCATGCGTTCATTGGGCTTCTAGGTATGAACATGTGAGCGTATGATGCGTTCCTTGGGACTCAAAGAGCCATGCCTTTTATCGCACAATGCAATTATCGCCTGAAAAGACAGAAAAGTGCCAAGGAATTCTATGCTTACTGCCACACAAAAAGAACACATTTAGAGTAACATTACAGTGTTCTCTATCTGTCAAACACACAAATAAAGAATTACCTTCAGCGAATCACTGTATCTGGCAAATAAGTCCAAAAATAATCCTACAGTTAACTCCCCTTGAGAGCTCTTCATTTCATAACAAGTCTGTACCGGAGAGAAAACAAAGCAAATTAAATTCTCCCTTGTCACTTGTAAATATAAACAAGTTCATTTCTGTTTAGGATAGTTTTTATCAGAAGCGGTTTCATTATAATTATTATTTTAAGAAATCTGTGCAAGTCCACAGAAATGATACCTAAATTAAAAATTAAAATGTTCAACCCTAAGGTCATGTATAAATATATACTTTTATATGAAGCAGAAACATGGTTGTTGGCAGTCAATGTTTCCACTTCACAACAAACAGGTCATCTTGTAATTGTTCTGTTCCCGTGTACATGGAAATCACTGTCCCATTCAAAAACTAGTAAACAAACAAAAAATGTAAATCATGGACTCTTATTCAGTTACGGAAGACAAAAATCAGAGCTTTTGAATTGAAATGCTATAGAAAAATTAATAGAACATCATGGACTAGGAAGAAGAACACATGACATCCTACATGATCTAAGCATCAAGAACTGGCTCATAAACAGCATCCAGCCCCAAAAGTGAAGTATTTTTGTCAAGTTAAACATCATGGAGGCCTCAAGAGAGCAGTGATGGAGGGTACAGTTCCCAGAAAATGAAGCAGATGCAGACTTCAGCGAAGTTGGATAAAAAAACATTGAAGATACATTGGCTATGAAAGATCACAAGGCTGGCGAATTGGCCAGAGGAAGAGAGACTTTGAGGTGTGTTGTCAGGAGAGCAATGTTTTGTAAAGGACCTACTGATTGAAAATAAAACAAACAGTTAGACAAAATCCAGAAATACACACATAAAGACATGCTATGGGTGCCAACACCAACAGATGCCACCAGAACTGCAATTTATCATTAATGGAAATAGTGATGACAAGCTGACAATACACAGAAACATGAAGAATGAATAAAACTAAACAATTACTAACAGACTAAACAAATTAATTAACAGCTCCTGAGACTTCACTTTAAAAATAGGAGAAATAAACACTGTGAGGACCTGATGCTGGTCAGTGACGAATTTTATGTCAACTTACTGCTTCATCCTCATAGGCATCGCTTAACACTTTTAAAATTCTGAAACAAATCAAGATGAGGTAACCAGTGAGTTATTGAGTTACTCAATATTTTTTCTTCTTCTTCTTCTTTTCCTCCTCCTTCTTCTATTTCTTCTTCTTGTTTTCTGCTTCCAATTCTTCTTTTTCTTCTTCTAATTCTTCTTCTACTTATAGTTTTCTTCTTTTACTTCTTCTCCTAATTCTTCTTCTACTTAAGGTTTTCTTCTTTTTCTACTACTTGTTTTATTTTTCTGTTCACCCTTAAAAGGTGTGGCTGGCATGTGTTGTGGTTTACAGCTGGGCTACCTAACACATATAGTTTCATCAAAATCCTAATTGCTCACCTTCGATGTCTGTTAGATGGCAGGAAGTTGATTCCTTCTTACCTCCAGAATGAAGCCTGGCACCACACACTGGAAGCTGACTTTACTTCAGATGGAACAGTGTCAAGGTTTATACCAAACATGACCTCTCTTCACCCCTAAGTACGGCACATGGGGCACACACTGGCAGAAACTTGTCTGGCTAGCTAAGGGAGGAGCGACAATGACCTCCCTGATCCCCACGTGGCTAACCAAGGGTTGAGTGACCGTGACCTTCACTGTGATGAAGCCTGCAGAGAACTAAAATTTTGTTCGTTGTGAGACTGCAAGAGTCACATCAATTCCCTATGACGTTAATGATCAGAACCCACGTGCTGCACACACAGCCTGGAGATTAACTAACTGCAGTGTTCACAATGATCAGAACCCACGTGCTGCACACACAGCCTGGAGATTAACTAACTGCAGTGTTCGCAATGATCAGAACCCACGTGCTGCACACACAGCCTGGAGATTAACTAACTTCAGTGTTCGCAATAAGTGTTAACTCACGGAGACTGAACCAATCACTGTATTACCCTTTTCACACCAGTGGCCTATACAGTGTATGATATAACACTCAAATTTGTAATTCTTCTTGTTAGTGTTCTTATTCTTCTTTGTTAGTGTTCTTATTCTTCTTGTTAGTGTTCTTATTCTTCTTGTTAGTGTTCTTATTCTTCTTCTTAGTGTTCTTATTCTTCTTCTTCTTAGTGTTCTTATTCTTCTTGTTAGTGTTCTTATTCTTCTTGTTAGTGTTCTTATTCTTCTTCTTAGTGTTCTTATTCTTCTTCTTAGTGTTCTTATTCTTCTTCTTAGTGTTCTTATTCTTAGTGTTCTTATTCTTCTTCTTAGTGTTTCTTCTTCTTCTTAGTGTTCTTATTCTTCTTGTTAGTGTTCTTATTCTTCTTGTTAGTGTTCTTATTCTTCTTCTTAGTGTTCTTCTTCTTTTAGTGTTCTTATTCTTCTTCTTAGTGTTCTTATTCTTCTTGTTAGTGTTCTTATTCTTCTTGTTAGTGTTCTTCTTCTTAGTGTTCTTCTTCTTCTTGTTCTTCTTCTTCTTCTTAGTGTTCTTCTTCTTCTTCTTAGTGTTCTTATTCTTCTTCTTATTGTTCTTCTTCTTCTTTTTCTTAGTGTTCTTATTCTTCTTCTTAGTGTTCTTCTTTTTTTTATTGTTCTTCTTCTTCTTAGTGTTCTTCTTCTTCTTAGTGTTCTTATTCTTCTTAGTGTTCTTATTCTTCTTAGTGTTCTTATTCTTCTTAGTGTTCTTCTTCTTAGTGTTCTTTCTTCTTCTTCTTCTTCTTAGTGTTCTTCTTCTTAGTGTTCTTCTTCTTAGTGTTTTCTTATTCTTCTTAGTGTTCTTCTTTTTCTTAGTGTTCTTATTCTTCTTCTTAGTGTTCTTATTCTTAGTGTTCTTCTTCTTATTGTTCTTCTTCTTCTTAGTGTTCTTATTCTTCTTGTTAGTGTTCTTATTCTTAGTGTTCTTCTTCTTCTTAGTGTTCTTTCTCTTAGTGTTCTTCTTCTTAGTGTTCTTATTCTTCTTAGTGTTCTTCTTCTTAGTGTTCTTATTCTTCTTCTTAGTGTTCTTATTCTTCTTCTTCTTCTTCTTAGTGTTCTTCTTCTTCTTAGTGTTCTTATTTCTTCTTCTTGTTTAGTCTTCTTAGTTCTTATTCTTCTTAGTGTTCTTATTCTTGGTGTTCTTCTTCTTCTTAGTGTTCTTATTCTTCTTCTTAGTGTTTCTTATTCTTCTTTCTTCTCTTAGTCTTCTTATTCTTCTTCTTAGTGTTCTTATTGTTAGTTTCTTCTTCTTATTCTTTCTTATTCTTCTTCTTCTTTCTTCTTCTTCTTCTTCTTCTTAGTGTTCTTATTCTTCTTCTTAGTGTTCTTATTCTTCTTGTTAGTGTTTCTTCTTTTCTTCTTCTTCTTATCTTCTTCTTTCTTCTTCTTGTTTTCTTCTTCTTCTTCTTCTTGTTGTTCTATTTCTTCTTGTTCTTGTTCTTCTTAGTGTTCTTATTCTTCTGTTCTTTCTTCTCTTCTTCTTCTTCTTCTTTTCTAGTCTTCTTCTTGTTCTTGTTTCTTCTTCTTCTTCTTAGTGTTCTTCTTCTTCTTTATTCTTCTTAGTGTTCTTCTTTTCTTCTTAGTGTTCTTATTCTTCTTAGTGTTCTTATTCTTCTTAGTGTTCTTATTCTTAGTGTTCTTATTCTTCTTCTTAGTGTTCTTCTTTTTTTTATTGTTCTTCTTCTTCTTTGTGTTCTTCTTCTTCTTAGTGTTCTTCTTCTTAGTCTTTATTCTTCTTCTTCTTCTTCTTTCTTGTTCTTCTTCTTGTTCTTTCTTCTTCTTTCTTATTTCTTTAGTGTTAGTGTTCTTCTTCTTCTTTTTCTTCTCTTCTTCTTAGTGTTCTTATTCTTCTTCTTAGTGTTCTTTAGTGTTCTTCTTTCTTTAGTGTTTATTCTTCTTAGTTAGTTCTTTCTTCTTCTTAGTGTTCTTATTCTTCTTTCTTATTCTTCTTGTTTCTCTTAGTGTTCTTCTTCTTTTTTCTTCTTCTTAGTATTCTTCTTTTCTTAGTGTTCTTCTTCTTTCTTGTTAGTTCTTCTTATTCTTCTTCTTAGTTTCTTCTTCTTGTTCTTCTTCTTCTTAGTTTCTTATTCTTATTCTTCTTGTTAGTGTTCTTATTCTTCTTAGTCTTCTTGTTCTTTCTATTCTTCTTAGTGTTCTTATTCTTCTTGTTAGTGTTCTTATTCTTCTTCTTAGTGTTCTTATTCTTCTTGTTTCTTGTTCTTATTCTTTTTCTTCTGTTCTTCTTCTTCTTCTTCTTCTTCTTAGTTCTTCTTGTTTCTTCTTCTTAGTTTCTTGTTCTTCTTGTTCTTGTTCTTATTCTTCTTCTTATTCTTAGTTTCTTATTCTTAGTGTTCTTCTTCTCTTAGTGTTCTTTCTTCTTTTCTGTTAGTGTTCTTATTCTTCTTCTTAGTGTTCTTTTTTCTTCTTCTTAGTGTTTATTTCTTAGTTTCTTCTTCTCTTCTTAGTTAGTGTTCTTCTTCTTCTTGTTGTTCTTGTTCTTCTTCTTAGTGTTCTTTCTTCTTTCTTAGTTTCTTATTCTTCTTCTTAGTTTCTTATTCTTCTTCTTAGTTTCTTCTTCTTTCTTAGTGTTCTTAGTCTTCTTGTTAGTTTCTTCTTCTTCTTCTTAGTGTTCTTGTTCTTCTTTCTTAGTGTTCTTATTCTTCTTCTTAGTCTTTCTTATTTCTTCTTCTTCTTAGTGTTCTTATTCTTTTCTTAGTGTTCTTATTCTTCTTGTTCTTTCTTCTTCTTCTTCTTTAGTGTTCTTCTTCTTTAGTGTTCTTATTTTCTTTCTTAGTGTTCTTCTTCTTAGTGTTTCTTTTCTTCTTCTTCTTCTTAGTTCTTCTTCTTCTTCTTAGTTCTTATCTTCTTCTTCTTCTTAGTGTTCTTCTTTTCTTCTTCTTCTTCTTTCTTCTTCTTTCTTGTTCTTCTTCTTAGTCTTTCTTCTTAGTTCTTCTTCTTCTTCTTCTTTCTTAGTCTTCTTCTTAGTTTCTTATTTCTTTTAGTGTTCTTCTTCTTCTTCTTTCTTTCTTCTT